TAGCTACATAAACTTTATCCCTATACCTTCTAAATTTTTTGCTAGATAAACTTTATAACTATATATTAGTTAGATAAATTTTATCTCTATAACTTCCAAAATTTTTGCTAAATAAGTTTTATCCCTATGACTTATCAGTACAGTCTTCTTTTCCCATTCAAGTCCACAAACTCAACTAGAATTCTAATACAATAGGAAAAATTAGGTTATAAACGCAAGCATCGAAAATTCATTATTCATTGATACATAATAAAATATTAGAAGAGTAAAGAGACAAATCATATATTTTTCTTTTTTTTATACCTGACTTTCAAAAAATTTTGAACAACTTTATTAGAAGTATATATATATAAAAATAGACTTCTATCTCTCCAGTAACTCCATTAAACGCATTTAGTGTTATATCTTTGTAGTAATTTGTTTCTTCAAAATCTATTAAATTTGTGGCTTGACATATCTATCCCCTTGACATTAAGCATATTGTGACTCTGAAGATTGATTGGTCACTTTATAAATGATCTATTTACCTTATCAGTTTTTGGAATTGGAACTAAAATTAGCCTTTTGCTTTGTCATCTTTATACATTTCGTATTTCTTATAATTATTTGACTTTTAAGTTATTTTAAACTCTTTTATTAACAGTATTTGACTTGTAAATTCTTTACTACTTTCATCCATTTTTTATTTTCATATACCTATTTGATTTCTAAGTTATTTTGGACTGTTCTATTAATAGTATTTGAATTATAAATTCTTTTGCACTCATTTATTAGTAGTACATTTTCAGACATTTTATATATTTATTTATGTTTATATTAATATGAAGAAATAAAGTTTAATTTATATTCTATATATATATATATACTATATATATATATATATATATATGTAGTTGTCGGATTGGATTCTACGATTAAATATATGTCATGTTTGTTTTTTGGTATGCAACAATATCATATTATTATAATATAAATAATAGTATTGCAATTAAATAAACCAAAAAATAATTTTAACAATAGAAGAATTAATTATTCCACATAATTTATGATTCAATTTAATTACATATGAAAAATTCAATAGAAGAATTAATTATTACATATGAAAAATTAATTATTCCACATAATTTATGATTCAATTCATTCTTATGAAAAATTGTTATTTAAATATATTTACATGCAACGCACTTCGTGCATGGATAGTATATATAAATGTGGGATTTTCTTTCAAAATCTTTTTTAGAAAACTTATTTACAATAAAAGGGTATTTAAGTTTTTCTATGTCTTAAATGGACTTTTTACAAAATATTTTTTTCTATGTACTTTTTGACAATTTAGTCCAATTTCATGTATCAACTTCCAAAGGTCACTAAAAAAAGTTCTAAGTTTTAGAGTTCAATAACAAAGTATAGATCAAAACTTAAAACCCATTATAATTTAGCTTATAAAAAAACTCTTGAAAAATTAAGTCAACAAAATAAAATTTAAATTTAGGTCTAAAAGTGTAGTCCACCTCAATCATACACATTTATTAAAAAATGAAAAACTGGTTAACACTTCGATAAAAAAACATTTCCATCTCTCCCTTCCACAATACAAAATAAATCGAACACATTTTGAGTTACTACTACAACATCCACATAAATGCGTCAAAGTGGACTCATACAGCCAATGGTAAATTCTCTACTGCATCTGCATGGGAAGTCAATAGGAATCCAACCCCAAAAGTATCATGGTGTAAACTTGTTTGGTTCCCCAGGCTATACCTAGAATGAGTTTTATATTGTGGTTGGTTGCTTGGAAACCATAACTCGTGGCATTGACTATTAATTCGGAAGACAGTACAACGTTTTGATAATGATATCAAGAAACAATGTGTGTTGTTATACGTAAAATATTAAATTGGAAATCAAGATGAACATGCTAAAAGTTTAGGTGACAGTGTATGGAATGATCTCAAATAATACATTATGATCCAATAATGAATGAATTGAAGTACTTGACTTATGCATGTCCAAGTCACCCAAGAGTCGAGTAAGAGTGATAGTTTATAAAAATGACAATGAACAGAAGTATCGGACTATAACAAACTTCATCGATTCTTTGAATAATATAGAGAGTAATGGAAAGGGATAAAAGACGTAAATAAACTCTTTTTTGACTCAATTTTTGGTTATTGTAGCAGGATAAGAGTTAAACTATTCCAAAAGAGTAAGAATAACGACGACACATAACTAGCAAGAATTTATCCTATTTTCCCAGAGGAACTCAAAATTTAAGTCTCAGTCAAACGCGGACATTCTTCATATAAAGGCAATATAAAATTGGATAAATTACACGTACATCCCCTAAATTATCACATTTTTTCATTTTATCACTTTAACTATTAAATTTCTCACATTGTACCCTCAACTAACACTTTTGTTTCACATTGTCCCAATCACAAATGTTTGTTATCATTTTGGACGGAAATTCTCTATATATTTCAAAACATTGATGTACAGAAGGTGTCTGAGCCAATAAAATGTGGGGATGAAAGTCCAACGATCCATCGGGTCATAGTCGACATAACCCATCACGTGACAGCTTTGAATGACCCGTTTTAGGTAAATCTTCAATCCATCGAGATTTAAAAATTTACAATTTTAATCGAAATGATAGTCAAGTAATTCCATTATGACTTGTTTTAAGATATTTGTTGATTGACTCGATGGATAACCCACTAAAAACGCATTATGACTGACCCAATGAACTAGTCACGGGATGTATTCATCTTACCAACTTTCCCAAACCAAGGTTGTCGACATATTAGATAATGGCGTTCATCCCTTATTCATTTATTCGACTCTTAGATTAATTATAGTGATAATACTTTCTCATCCTATGTTTGGTTCAAGTATTAAGAAGTAGTAGGTTTCATATTTATCTCATACAATATTTTATTTAGATGGAATATTGAATGATGATATAAACATTAAATTACTAAATACCCCTCAAGATAAAGAGTGATATTTATATTTTAGAGATACTTGAGAGTAAAAATGTCTTTTAGCCAAATAAATCTCAATTGAACTATTTAAACCTACCAATAAAGTGGGTTTATTTAAGAGGTTATATGTAATATTAAATACACTATTTATTAGGACCAACATTATTTGTAGGTGATAACACTGAACTCAAACTATGTGTCCAAACATGAGTATAAGAAGAATAAAATAGACCCGACGTTATCTTTTCTAATATCCCTTTGTTAATACCTGAAGCAAATACACCCTTAAGGGTTGGGAGAGCTTCGAAAAACGAGCCTTCGGCTTAAAAGTAGGTATTATTGATTAATATACACAAGTTTCACGCTCTAGAGGACATTATACAATCGTATAAAATAGTAAATAGTAATGCTTATCTACTGCTGCATCATTTGAAGGTTGAATTAGCTACGTATTGAAGTATTTTCGTGAGCCTCGTGATTTTGATCATGTATAAAAAAATTCCCAAATGGGTCTCCGAGTTGTATGTGTATCACACTTTCATTAAGTAGTTTAATATGTGTCACATTCTCATTGGTTGAAAAACGAAATATGGTTCGATATCATTGTTGCTTCTATTATGATAAGACATGTTGCTCTTGTGGTCATTATAGTATTGTAGAAAGAATAAAGAAAACTAATAATGCTTATCCGCAATATTTGCTCCAATAAATGTATGACAAAGACGATAAGCCAAAAAGATTCTGAGTAAGACTAGCGTTTGGTCCGATGCCTAGCCCGAGAGCCTGCAAATAGGATCGTGGGTTGTGTTTGTGGCCCGTCATAACTCGGCCCTTAAAGTTAACCCGTGGGGACAAGCTCTTCCACAATTATAAAAAATTACAACTATATAGTTTTCATTGATATCTTTAAATGTTAAAATAGAAACACACTCACATATTTTAGTGAGGCTCATCATGATGAACTTAAATCAATAGAAAATAAAAAGATTCCCACTTGGGTTTCCACGAGGTAGATAGATAGTGTCCTCCTCTTTTTTATTCTTTCTTTTTTTATTTTATTATTATTAAAGTGTTTTTATTCAAGATCAATATATATTTTCTTTTTCACTATTCTGTATTTTCATTTGAGAATGGTAAATCTTCATTGTCATTATTGTGTGTCTTATAAAAACATTCTATTGGCGTGCTGGTTTGTCCTAGTGGATAAAAACAGCCCATCTTAGGATGCAACCTAAGATGGGGTTTTACTAGTCACATATAAGTTCCTTCTCTCCTCCTCGTTAAAGATAAGTTAGGCCCATCAATATACATTAAAAGAAAAAAAAAATTGAGATTTTGATCTCGTCAATCTCCTCAAAATATGATCACTGCAAGAATTAGGGTTTTTTTGAGACAAATTTTTGCGACAATAGTTTTCACCAGCATAAAAAAAATATATGTTTTGGAGGGAACAAAAATTTGCGGCATAGTGCTGTTATAAAAAGTTTATTTATTGCCGTAAATATTATTTGAGGTGGAATGTTGCTATTACAAAAAATTTTTGAAGCTCCACTTATTACGCAAGGTGTTGTGACAGCATGCCTTGTCATAATAAGTATAGTCTTAGAAATTTTTGTGGCAGCAACTGCTAATTTAAATAGTATTTTTGTGGCAACAAATAAATTTTTCTTGACAACATTATCGCCATAAAAAATAAAAAAAAATCTCCAAAATACTTTTTTTTTTTTTGTGATGATAAACACTATCACCACAATTGTCTCAAAAACCCTAATTCTTGTTGGGATAGATTGAGGGGAGGGATGATCAAAGATGCGTTTGGGGTTCATGTTTCTCGTCCGTCTCTCCTATGTGAAAACGAAAAAAACAAAAAAAAAAAACAAATTTTCTTGTCCATTACCCAAAAGGGTTAAATTTGACTCTTTCAAGACACTAAAACCTCTCCAATATAGAACCCTTTCGTGTTTATATATTATTATCTTGCATGTGCATTTCAGATCCTTTATCTGTTGCCATGTTTATTTAAGGACAGTAGGAGAAGATAAACCTCCTCAGAGAAAGCCAAGCTCACCAAGTTCGGTCATGGCGACTTCTCATCAACCTCTGCTTGAGCCTCCCAAAGCAAAAACTTCTCTCTTCAAGTATCTGTGTGTGTTTCTCTCCTTAGTTGCCATCATAGGCCCACTTGCAAGAGTTACCATCAGGTTGATCAATCCCATCTCCTCCAACACTCCCTTAACAGCCCATGTTTGTGATCAAGCCCATGATCCCGTGTCGTGTTTAGCCGTGGTGTCGGAAGTAGAATCTGGTGGATCGTCACAAACGAACAGTGTAGATTTGTTGAAGATGGTCCTAGAAAGATCAACATCACACATCCAAGAAACCATTGATACGGCCGTCAATATCAACGGTCGGATCAATGATCGTAGGGAACAAGCTGCTCTAGCAGATTGTCTAGAGTTGATGGACCTATCCATGGATAGAGTGATGAACTCTATGGTGGCTTTTGGAAGCCCATCGGCCCGTTCCCACTTCGATGCCCATTCATGGCTTAGCAGTGTACTCACGAACCATGTTACATGCTTGGATGTTCTGGATGGGCCGGCTCGGCCCATCATGGAGCCTATGCTTAAAGATCTAATGTCAAGGGCAAGAACTTCCTTGGCCCTGCTGGTTGCAATACGACCAAGGGAAGTTGAAGTGTTACAGCCACTAAACGGAGATTTTCCGTCTTGGATAACCAGAAGGGATCGGAGGCTCTTGCAATCTTTGCCTAAGGACATCAAGGCAAATGTGGTGGTGGCGAAGGATGGCAGTGGGAACTACAAGACGGTCAAAGAAGCTGTGGCATCGGCACCAGATAAGAGCAAGACCCGTTATGTAATCTATGTTAAGAAGGGGACTTACAAAGAAAATGTTGAGATCGGGAAGAGTAAGAAGAATGTGATGATTGTTGGTGATGGGATGAATTTGACCATTATTACTGGAAGTTTAAATGTCGTGGATGGATCGACAACCTTCAATTCTGCAACAGTTGGTAATTAATCTTTCTAATCTCCGGAGATTATAATACCTTGTTTGCTCTTATATATGCCACCATTTGTATTACTAGTAGTCTTTATTCTTTGCCAAACAATTGTTTTGTTTGTGGTACTACATCATTTATAATATTAACACATGCATTACTTCCTATGTATATCAAGGTCTTTAGTTTATGAGGCTTCTGTCCATCAATGAAATTTAAAGGCCGTATTTTTATGGGTATCCTACTGTCCTGTGATTTTCCCGACTTGGCCCAAATGGCTTGGCCTCAAACTTTCAGTATCTGGTCCTTGACTGTTGGGCTGGACCTGTCTTATAACTTGATGTCGGGTTGATAAATCGTGTTAAGAATTATAAGCCCGACATCAAACTCTCAATAACTGGGCCTAGAAAGTTGAGCTGGGTGCTTTACATTCCTCACTCAGTCTAACTTTTGCTTTGTATAAGCATTAAGGCCATTGTTCACTTTCCATGTTTTATTTTGGCCCACATTAACAAATGCTGTTGCACTAAAAACAACCAATGCAGCTGCGGTTGGTGATGGATTTATAGCCCAAGACCTCTGTTTCCAAAACACAGCGGGACCAGAGAAGCACCAGGCTGTGGCACTTCGTGTCGGAGCCGATCAGTCGGCCATAAACCGTTGTTGCATCGATGCTTACCAAGACACTCTCTACACGCACAGCCTCCGCCAATTCTACAGAGACTGTTATATCACCGGCACGGTGGACTTCGTCTTTGGCAATGCGGCAGTTGTGTTCCAAAACTCCCAACTAGTGGCCCGAAAGCCCATGAGTGGACAACAGAACATGGTGACAGCCCAGGGCCGAACTGACCCAAATCAGAACACTGGAACCTCAATTCAAAACTGCAATGTCATAGCAAGTTCGGACCTCGAGCCTGTTAAGAAGACCATAAAATCATATCTGGGCCGTCCATGGAAAGAGTACTCCAGAACTGTGGTCATGCAATCAAACATTGGTGATCATATTGATCCAACAGGTTGGTCTGTATGGGATGGTGATTTTGCTCTGAAAACATTGTATTATGGTGAGTACATGAACAAAGGCCCGGGTGCCGGGACTAGCATGCGTGTAAAGTGGCCCGGATATCGGGTCATCACTAGTGCAGCAGAAGCAAGCAAGTTTACAGTAGCCGAGCTTATACAAGGAGGGTCATGGTTGAAGTCCACTGGTATAGCCTATACTGAAGGGCTGTGAATTAGGCTTTTGCCTTTTTCTGTACTTTTGGTAAACTACTTTGATGTTTCACAGTTTGGGTAGTCAAATAATGGTAACTTTGGAGGTTCTTAGTTGCAAAACTTTGAGCCTTTTGTTGCTATGGACATATTATGTATTTTTGTATTCTAGCTTTTAGTTTTTGCTTTTTGTGGTACACTAGTTTTAATTGTTTAACTCAACATGGTTGTTGGGTACAAACTTAAATCGAATAATTTTTTTAACTCGTTTAAAAAAATAAGTCTAAAAAACTCGACTCATTTATATTTATATGTGAAATAGTCGAGTGAGCAGGGGCTCGTGATCCTCTTTTGACCTTTCTCATCTATTCTCACGCACATGAATTCCTTCTAATTTCGTGTGTGTCGATAATTTTTGCCTTACTCAAATAAGGGGTGATGTTCTACTCGAGCTCAGCTCAAGTTGGTTTGAATTCGGCTTATTTAAAAGTTTTAACAATTTTTTAAACACATTTAGAAAAATGAGGTCGACAAACTCGGTTCGATTATTAGTCCTACTTATGGGTAGCTCTTTAACCTATTGAGACCAAATTTGAAAATCTAATTTAATGCAATCGTTAAATTAGTTGTGAATTATAATTTTTAAATTAAGTCTTCGTAATATAGAGTCCCAAATCTGGCATTTCTCTCAAACAATTCCCAAACCTTTATTTTCATAAAAAATGACCTTTTTGCCACCATTTCCACGTTAATACCCTATTGTTAAAAAAAATTAATATCCTAATTAATGATTTAGTATTTTATAGTAATTGAAAGTTAATATAAATATAAAAAAAAACCCAATTATGCCTTATTTAAAAGTTTTAAAGTTTTACAAAACAACTATATTAAATTGTTGGAATGTCAGCTAATCAAGCATTTGACTTCACCCAAATTTGGTTCATTTAGAGTTCAGCCACCTCATTATATATTCGACTTTGTTGTCCTTATTTTTCAAAAAGAGACAACATAGTTATACTAAATTGGTGCTATTAATATGAAAGATTATTTTAAATGTCTTGAGCCCTAATATAAATTTTGTTTTATGTTAATTAATACCAAATTTTTTAGTCCATGGAGCGGAAGACTTATTCGACTAGGAACTAAAAATATGATTTAAATTAGGAAATAAGATTTTTTGGGTGAAAAATAATATAAATTTGGGTCGGAATAAAGTAATTATTCTCTTAACTCTTATTTTCAAATAATTCTTTGAAATCGTAGCGTTTTGTTAGTGCACTTTGAATTGAACCCCATAATTTTGTGTTTTTTATATTCGTTTGTTTTGTTTTGTTGTATGATTATAATCACGTGCAAAACATATAAAATTTCACTACTTTATATACGAACAATTTGAAGAGATTTTAAGATTCATTGATATTAAAATCGCAGAGTGGCCGTAAAACTTTGTTTGATGCATTTATAGTCGTTGATCATGACAATAATAAAAGTAACATATTAGAAAAATAGAAAATTTTAGATGCGATTCATTTATATTGAATGAAAAATTTAAAAAAAAAATAATACCAAAAAATACGAGCTTAAGTTTAAATAGTCGAGTTATTCGGGTTCGAGTTAAGCACGAGTTTTAAATAAGTCGAGATTTTAACAAGTTTTTTAAAATTTATTTAAAAAAATAAACTCGACAGACTCGACTCGATTAACACCCATAGACACATTGACAGAGTATTGGATTACCAACTTCTTCGTTATGGTACGTGGCTGTATCCATCAATTGATATTTACATAAAACACCTGACAATTAGGTGGAAATTCGAAGAAAGCACATCAATTGCAGAATAATTAAGAGTGGTTGAGATTATTATATTAACTAAGTGGGAATCATTGTATAACAACAATGCCACGATACACAAATGGAAACAAAAATTAATCTTAACTGCAACAATTCCATTTGCATCAAAACAAAGAATACTATGATCAAGTGTAGACGGTAAGAAAGACAAAAAGCCATTGGTAACAGTTGGGATGACACAGTTCATTTTTTATTTTCTACTTTTAATAACGAGAATTGCCCCGCCCCGCCCCGCCCCCATCATACGTGCTTTGAACTCATGGCTGAAAAAGAAATTGGGATACATATAATTTCTTACGAATCACACGCATGTGTTAAATCAAGATTATTCGAACAAAATATGTCAAGTTTGAATTGAAATATATGTAATCTCCTATAAATTACATGCATTAGTTCAACTAAGATTATATAGGGTCGATAGAATTCAAAACTCAAAAATTAATTGTTTCTTTTTTTTTTAATCCAACGGTTAAGGGTGTTTAGACTAAGTTACACATATCTCGATTAATCCTTTCCCAGTCTGGTTAAAGGCAGATTATTCACACCAAAATTAAATTATTCGTGAGGAATAAAATTTCAAAAAATTATTTAAATTCAAACTTAAAATATCTGACTTTACAAGTCGTCTTTTTTATTACTCTCGAATAGTCGAACAAGAAGCACCGGTGCACAACCTTATTATATTGCCATTTATTACCACCATTAACTCCCTAAACGGTTCATATCCTTCAAAACCATCCCTCACCCTTTTTTTCTAGAGGTTTTCTTGGTTGTCCACTTTGTTTGGTTTTTGTCTCTCTCTTTGCTCTTCTCTTCTTCGGCTTCTTTGTTTCCTTCTCTCTCCTCATTTTTCATTTCATCCTCTTTGGATATGATTAGCGACGATTAGTGTCGTCAGCGTAGAAAGATGACATACACAAACCGAGAAATGGTTACAACTGTAAGCATAGATCTTAAAATTTAGGCCTCATGCATGATATGTCCTTTCTCATGAATGGATGTATGCCAACCTCAATTGGTAGGCAAACTGTTTCAAAGGCTTATACTGCACAGCTTTCATTGATACTCAAAGAGACTTACAGGTTTCATTTTACGATTCTTGCATAAAAAGTAAAATCCATTTAATAACTTCGCTTTCTTCACAGGCAAAGGAACCATCTCTTCTCATTTGTATTGTGTCTTCTCCTCCATTTTCTCTCATATCCTAGAAGAGGTCTGTTGGATTGGAACTGTACAGCTTTCACCATGGCAACCAAAATGAAAGGGATCTATAAAGGATTCAAATACATCTCCCAAATCTTTGGTAATGTCTCTCTCTCTCTCAAACACACACATCCTCATGTATGTGTTTTGGTTTTTTTGGGGTGATGCAGCACGTATAATATAAGATTACATTTTAGATCAAGATCGTCAAAAGTAATATTGATTGGGCGCCAATCAGGGTTGATTCTAGGCAAAAGTATCAAAAAATTTCAGAAAACCCAATTCCAATGGAAAAAATCAACTCTGAAGGAGGGAAATGAGACCTGTGGAAAAAAACGATGGGTTGAAGGATAGATATTTTTCGATCTTGCTCAAATCGTCCAGAGCTTTCCAGAATAGGGTCTTTTGAAAAATTTTGACACTATCACCCAGAAATCGCTGCTTTCAACGGTCTTGATTTGATATATAGTCTTCTACTATACCTGCTATCTTTTTTATTTTTTTGTGATGGGATTTGGTGCTTTGGGCTAAGGTGGAAAATGGGTATCTTGCAGTTGTGAAGGAGCAGGAGATGGATATTGGCTACCCAACAGATGTTAAGCATGTAACTCACATTGGTTGGGATGGCTCATCTAGCTGTGCACCTAGTTGGGTACGTATGGTCCACCTTTCCCTTCCCTACCCCTATCGAGTTTTGTTTGCAATTCGTTAATGTTTTTATCATTTGACATGATTTGATTTCCCTTTTCCTTGATTATTAATTGTTGTTTGATTTTGGTGTAAAAGTGTAGATGAGCAAATTCAAGGCAGGGCCAGATTTTTCAATCAACTCCATTCCTAATTCTGGTTCTGCTCTCTCTCCATGGTCCTCTCAAGGTTTGTTTTAATACATCACTTTTTCTTCCTGTTTTCTCTGTTTTTCTTCCCTGCAAGGAAAAAATTATGTTAATCTGAAAAAAGAATACATAATGAAGTTTAAAGCACGCCCACAAGGATAGAAAGAAGAGTACTCGAATAGTAAGCTCCATTCACACACCTAGTTTACATTTAAAATGATCTCTCACAGCCTGAGAAACTAGGCTTACGACAGATAGTCTACCACATCTAGTCAAACAGTGTTCCAATGTTTTCTTAGTTTTAATCAAGGGAATACCGCATAAAAAGATAGCCCAATGAAATTCATCCAAATGACAACTAACCGAAACAAATGACAATTCATCTACTGATTTAAATCATTTGCAATGTTCCCATTCGGACATGGACAACTAAAGCCTTTATAACAGGTTGAAATGTTGAAAGACCTTTTGATATTCAGTCCCACTGTTGCATTGTTAGAGCTAATTTTTTCTGATAGGAAAGTTTTTAAGGTTCTTTGTCCCAACAGGAAGAGTTTGGCTCGTCTAAGGCTAAAAGCTTGTAAAATAAGGGGGAATCTACTGGTGAATGGTCCTAGAAAGGATCTGATTCTTTGTTTGTTGATCCTGAACATGTTTATTAGTTGGCTCGACTAGACGATGAGGCACGAATTTTGTTTGGCCTTAAAAGTTTTGTGTCCCTGTCTGATCATCAGCACTGTTATCCTTTCCTCCCAAACTAGCTTTACTATTTTTTTTAGGCTCGGAAAGTCTCAAAATTAACATTTGAACAAATATGATATTATCATCTATTTTCAATCAGTCTGAGAATAGGAACTATTTAAATCATCTTGATCAGTAGTGATTGTCTGCTATTTGTATCACTTATTAAACAATGATCCTTAAAAGAACCATTCCTCATTCTGCTGGTTTCAATTTTTCCTCTTGTACCTTACTTGGCAAATATCTTTACAACACTTCTTTGCTGACGCCTATTAACAGATTCTGGAGAATCCACGCGAGAACAACCTGCATCTGACATATACAAAGACATGAGACCGACAAATCTTCCCCCTATTCCAAAGAAAAATAAGCGGAAGAAAACCAAAGCAACATCTTCACCTAAGTCATCCCATTCCTCCTTGAGGTCTTCACAAGCAGCAAAGTTGAAGGTCAAACTGGTTGAAGGAAATGCCCAACCTGCAAACATAGAAGTTGCATAAGATCATGAACTTGGCTGAAAAGCACCATAAATTTTTGTAGTGCATGTGAAGTGTACGAAAAGTCCCCTTTCTGTGCTCGGGATGTTCTTTGACAAGAGCTTGGAAGAGAATTCAGGAGGTGAATGAAACTTGTAAATTTAGAAGAGGCATTTCAAGAGAGAAACTGGCATAACCACGAGAACAGAACGAGTAATTGTGTGGGACGGGAAATATGAGGCGAAAGATATATTTGAGGTTCAACTATGACAATGATTTGATAGGATGACAGTTTTTTTTTTTCTTTTTTTTCTTTTTGATTTACAGCAAGACTGAAGGTGTAAAGAGTTGAATTGTTTAGCTGTGTTGCTGGGAAATTGAGATATTGCAAATACTTGACTTGAACAGATAGCAAGGGATATGCTTCTGTCATTGGTTATATGAGCAACTGTAACTTTAATGTTTGCAGATATAAAGCCTGAAAACAACTTTTTGTTGTTGTCCTACATTGACATTCACTCCTACTTTCAAATTTTCTCTTAGAAATTCTTCAACTGATAGAGCTTAAAATAGTATGAGTGACTTTTATGTACGTTCCCAACGATTACTAAAGTTTAATGTGAAAATCAAGTATTGTCAATTTGATACAAGAAGCACACTGAATGTCAGTCGGATTGATGGTTCCGGGTATGAAAATTGGATCAATTTCTAAGTTTCAACAATGGTTAAATCAATTTATCTGATTTGACAGTTGAAATCTGCTGATTAATTGGACTAAAGGGGACAAAGTATACGTGTTTCAACACAAATATCATGTTGGCTCACATTATCCTTCTTTATTGCTAGCATATCAAAGTTCAAGAAATTTTTTTCTGAGTCAAGTACATGGGCAGCGTTGAAATATGCGTTTAATCCCAATTTGGTCTCTCAATTTCAAATTGTGTTACTTTAGTCTCTAGTATTTTCGGTTTGCTTTAACTAGTCCAAGCGTTAACCCTTTCTATCCAAATAATAATTGGACACGTGACAATCATTATAAAAAAGATGCACGACCCTTGTCTATTAATCTTGACCATTATTAGTTTTCGGATCGTCGAAAAAACAAATTTGAAAACTTTAAGGACAAAGATGACACATTTAGAAGTTGATGGACCAGTACAATTTACCATATATATATATATATATATATATATATATATATATATATATATATATATATATATATATTTTTATTTTTTATTTTGTGAACCTTTTGAAAAAGAAAAAGAAAAGAGAACAAAAAAGTAAGAAAACGAAATTAAATAGTCTATGAGGGGTACTACTGTCATTTTGGTTGTAACAGAATTACGAAAATTGAATGAAAACTGGTAATTTGCCCCCGCCAATTCTATCGCTAACATAAGAGGATGAGGTTTCACCTGACTTAGTCTTCACTAAATTCAAGATTGTTAACCCAAATCTCTTTCACTTTTTCCTCTGCACACTAGGACACTTTTACCCTCATTTTGCCTCGATCCGACTTCGAAATCCTCCCTTGAAACACCCAATCTGGTCCTTGAATTTCGTCCTAATGTCTCAGCATTCATCCTAGAAGAAAAGGCATGAAAAATGATCTGTAAGACGATAACATTTTTGATTTTCTTGTCTTCTTTCGCAGTATATGTTAGTATAGCACAAGATTACAACGATGAAGAGAAACCAGCAGCCCCACCACCAGAAGAAAATAACTGTAATGGGATTTTTCTGTCATATGTGTTTGTTTCTCGAGAAAAAGAGTTTCCCCATGTAAAGAACGCGACAGCTCAATCCTGGGCCTTTAAATCTATTGCAACTATATTGAATGCTGGAATATATGAGCTTAAAAATTGGAAGATGTTTATCGGGTTTCAACACAAAGAGCTTTTAGTCTCTGCAAGTGGTGCAGTTCTTGTAGATGGTAATGATTTTCCTGCTCCTGTTGGGAATGGAACAACAATTGCTGGCTATCCTCAGACTGATTTGAAGACATCAATCGAAACTGCTGGAGATCTTACACAAATTCAGGCACAAATCCAACTAACCGGCACTCAGTTTGGGATGAAGCCACCCGGGATTCCTATGCCCAAGACCATAAAACTCGAAAATGATGGATTCAAGTGCCCTGCACCAACACACCGCAGTAAGTGCTTAATCAATTAGTCATTTCACCAAAAACTAACTATTTGATCAATTTAGTCCTTTCCTTTCGCAATCTGGTTGTGACATTCTTTACCTTCTTTGCTTTGTGTTTGTCAGAAACTTCAATTTATGTATGCTGTGTGAGGAATCCAAAATTCAAGGCCAAAAATTTAACGACCAAGTATTTTCCACGCCAAACGGGTGATCTCTTGCTGTCCTATGATGTTATCCAAGCCTATGACAACAATTATCTTGCTCAGGTGACTATGAATAACAATAACCCGTTGGGGCGCCTAGACCAATGGAATTTGACTTGGGAATGGATGAGAGGGGAGTTTATATACACAATGAGAGGAGCATACACTCATAAGAAAGACTATTCGGATTGCATTTATGGTGCTGCTGGACAATACTACCAAGACTTCGATTTTTCTACAGTCATGAATTGTGAAAAGAAGCCGGTCATGGCAGATCTGCCCCCGGATAGAGCCAAAGACGATAAAGTAGGAAACTTACCTTACTGCTGCAGAAATGGCAGTCTCTTGCCAACCATCATGAATGAAACCAAAGCGATATCTGTCTTTCAATTGCAGGTGTACAAGATTCCACCGGATTTGAATAGAACAGCCCTTTATCCTCCTGAAAAATGGAAGATTGTTGGTGTTCTTAATCCTGATTATAAATGTGGGCAGTCCCTAAGGGTAGATGATACAGAATTCCCTGATCCAACTACGCTTCAAGTTACCACCACAGCTATTGCAAGTTGGCAAGTAGTCTGCAATATCACCAGCCCGAAGAAGAGAGATTCCCGATGCTGTGTTTCCTTTTCTGCTTATTATAACGAGTCTGTAATACCCTGCAACACTTGTGCCTGTGGTTGTGGCAACGATGAGAAGTGCAACCAAAACGCCCCACCATTGCTTCTCCCTCCAGAGACTCTTCTAGTTCCTTTCGAGAACAGAACAATAAAGGCAGTGCATTGGGCAAAAATAAAGCATTATCATGTCCCAAAGCCATTCCCTTGTGGAGATAATTGTGGGGTTAGCATAAATTGGCACATCTCCACTAACTACAGGAAAGGGTGGACAGCTCGGATCACTCTATTCAACTGGGAAGATATTAATTTTGAGGATTGGTTTGTTGCAATTCAGTTGAAGAAGGCTGCCCTCGGATATGAAAAGGCTTATTCATTTAATGGAACATTGCTTGAAGAACTGAATAACACCATCTTCTTAAAAGGCTTACCAGGTTTGAATTACTTAATTGGAGTTACAAATGGAACAGATCCGGAAAAAGATCCGAGGGTACCTGGTAAGCAACAATCTGTTATTTCATTTACTAAGAGGAGAATAGGTGACGTTAGAATAGTCAAAGGAGATGGATTTCCTTCTAGGGTGTTTTTCAATGGTGAAGAATGTGTGGTTCCTACATACTTTCCAGCAGCAAACGGGAACACATATCGTATAAATTTACTAGCAGTAGTTCTAGCAATAATTCTAACCTTTTTGTTGACATCAGATCATCTGCATTGACTATCAGTCATGTTTTGGTCCTGCTGCTCCATATTTGTGCTTCAAGTCATTAGCCAAATTGAGAGAGAGAGATAGAGCTATAGTTCTCACTCAGAGAACCAGCTGTCAATCAAGCTCTTAACATATAGAAGTGGTGTTTCATATAGCTTGTAAAGAATGGAGAAACCCGCACTGTGGTTATCACAAGTTTGAACTCTATCGTTTGCACAAACTATAAAATTGGGCTTTTATATTCGAACAAATGTAAAGTTCATCAGTGAGACTGAATCGGGAGTGACGGAGATTTGGAAGTGTTCAAAGCACTTTTGAGTAATTCGTCTGCAGTTTTTCCTTCTTCATTTTCCGAAGAAGCTTTTGGCTGGATAGCGCTCTTCCACTGCATATTGTGCTACTGTTTGAGACCTGCTTAACTTTTCAGATCTTGTATATGAAAAGTGTAGTATAATAGAAGGGCATTCCCAAATCTCTTTACTTTTGTCAATGTTATGGTAGAAAATTCCATGGGATGTCTAATAAGAGCTTTACTTCATTAGGAATAACCAAACCTTTCGCTTAAAAAATTTCAGTTTCTTTGGTTTGTCATAAAAAATCCCCTAAAAAGAAAGTTACATCCAAGAAAAATTCTATCCAGTGGAGTCCAGGGATCTTAACATTTTAGTAGATTCGAATTAAAAAAAACAGTTCTCCACTCTGTGAAGGCAGCAAAAACGGAGAGTGTGTCTGTGTGTGTTGGGGGAGGGGGGGGGGGGGGGGATTGCCTTGGTCTTTGCTGGTTTTCCATTTCTTTGGGGAAGTTGTGGTATGAGGTGAAAAAAAAAAAAAAACCAACTTCAACCTGAAAATAATCCACAGCAGCATTAAGAAATGATGGTACTACAGATAGCACGCCACAAATTTTCAAATTAGTAAATTTGGCGGCACAAGAGATGATCACATAGATAGATCCCATGCTTCCTGAATAACAAGGTATCCATTCTGGCTTAGACTATTTGTAACACAACCTGACAAGAATTTTATATGTTTACATAAACAAGAAAGGAAAGACAAAAAACATTGACGGTCTTTGCATTGCTTTCATCTTCATATCAATGACAAAACTAACAACTGTATGACAATTCCCAAATAAAATAATCAGGCACAACCTTGAAATAATTCAACTACATATACTTTTCTTGATGATCTGAAGCATAAACTCTGAATCTCCCAATTCTTAAATTTCCCACTGCACGAAAATCATGGGACCAGGCAACAAGTCTCGACGAGGCCTGAAAATATGTTGTTGTGTCACTGCACTTCTCCTAATCATCATTCTAGTATTGGCAATCGTTCTGTTCTTTACAGTCTTCAAGCCTAAAGAACCCAAAATCATCACTCAGGCTGTCACTCTTGAACACTTCAAATTCGTACCTATTCCTTTCCATCTAAACGTGACATTGGGGATAGTAGTCACCATTGACAATCCCAACTATGGAAGCTTCAAGTACAAAAACAGCACTGCTTATGTGACTTATCATGGGAGCATCGCAGCCGAAGGACCAATTCAGCAAGACAAAATTCCAGCTCGTGGGAAGCATGATGTAACCACAACTGTGGTACTTTTAGTCGATAAATTGACTTCAAGTCCATACTTTTTGGCTGATTTTGTTAGTGGAAGCTTCAACTTCACTTCATCAACCACCTTAAAAGGGAAAGCAACTGTGTTGAAGTTTTTGAAGATTAAAGCAACCAGTTATAGCACCTGTGACATCTCTTTGTTCTTCCTAGCTCAAAATGCCACTTCTGTCTGCAGTACAAAAATCAAGTACTGATTCCATTTTTTTTTATCAATAAACTACCTTCTCTCTTTTGGGAATTTGTTTTATGAATTTGGGTCGATTTGTATGTCATCTAATAGAAATACATTACCTTATGTCTTTTGGAAATTTTTTCTCGGATCCTTCTTGTGTAGGGATCATCTTCACTATATTCTACCAATTTTATCGGATGTCCGCAAAAGGGACAACACGTCACTAATCTTTCAAAGTTCTGAATTAGTCCATTTTGCTTCTTTTTAAGAGCACCTAATTCAATTGTATTGCTTTTTTTTTTTTTTTTCCCATTCTAATATTTGTTATAAAGGCCCATGATATGGGTGTTTCACAGATCAAATTCTCCTGTATTTTTTCCTTTTTCTTATTTTTTTGGGTTTCTGAGATGTTTTCCCAAAATATATGTGTAAGACTGCATTACCGAAAATTTATGTTCCGGTACCATACTAAAATTTTGCAATATTCGGACTAAATTACATTTTTTGGGGTTAAGTTATAGCAAGATGAGGTACTTGGGTTCAATCATAGACATGTTAGGAACGACCCTAATTTATGTATATCTTAACCTTATTTACCATTATTTGATTTGATTCCATTTCATTATAATTTGACCCAAAAATGTATATCGTGGTTCAACCTTGGGTACCAAAGTCGATACCCAAGTCTTACCCAGAAAAATGTACATCCCAGATACTTTAATTGCTAATACTAACAATATTTTGCTAGATATGGGTAATTTAAAACTTGTTGATAGGGCTAAAGTAGCCCAACAACAGCCTACTTTAAGTTGAACTAATCTTTCGTAACCCTTTGGATTCAACAGTTATGTTTGAATTTAGGGATTACAAAACCGTAACTTATCGCTAGCAATAAAAAAATTTTATTTCAAACATTTGTTATGGAAGTGATATTTCTCACATCCTTTAAGGGTCAAACACCCTTATTTTTGAGGGAACATATTTTTAGACTAGCTCATTTTATTTTGGTCTAATTAAAAATAGAGAGAGTAATCGATACAAACTTAAATACCCTATAATTTCAAAAAGACAAAAAAAAACGATGTGATTAGTCAATAGGACTTGTGCAGTTGGGAAGACAAGGATGGGGGGTTTTTTAATGCCACACACACTTGCAGCTCTTTAATGGCGGAGAGAGACGTGCATATATACATTCGCCGGTGGACCATCGACAACAACCATCACTTTTTTTTTTTTTTTCATTTTCATTAATCACCACAATACCATCCGAGCAAGTGATTTAGTTATAAGTCATACCCTTTTAGGATCGTTCTTAACTTCTATGTTATTATTAAGCAAGGTTCGATTCACGGGAGCAACGTAGTTTGTTGTTTGGCTTTGGTAATACTGCAATAATGGACTGCCCTATCAAATTAGTAGCTATGTATTAAAATCAGACATTTCACAGTGGAGGGACTCTCATGGTCACGATCAGGAGATTACTACCTACTGGTTGACCCTTCGCATTTTCCCCCTTTTTCTCTGATAAAAAAAAAAAATTTAATCACCACAATAAATTTATTTGTTGCTTACACGTTTGTGGGGGAATACTGTTTTTTGAAAGTGATTTTTTGTTTCCAAAAAACAAAGTTCGACAAAAATAAATGGTGCTTATTGAGAGTAACGTCAACTTCTTAATACCTATTATTCAATGCAAAATAATAATGTGGCTCTAAATGCAAATATGTTATAGTCTAGTGTCATTCTGCTCAAAAAAGGTAGCATGGCCCTTTGATCTTTAACGTTTATGATGATAATTGCCTTCGGAGACTGGGATACTTCTTATCTTAATTGAGTCAAAAGATGAAGCAGCTTTCCATGTGTTTGGTGGTCTAACTAATCAATCATAGAACTAATCGTGGTATATGGAAGAGGTCAAACTTGAAGTAATAACAATTGTTCATCTGTCAATTTAATACGTCACGAGGTTGAATTCTAAGAATCAACCCCGACAAAATACTAGTAAGATGTCCCTCACTTTTCTCTCCCAAGCTCGACTTTAATGAGTGTGTCATGCATTGGATACAAAGTAATTGGATCAGCTTCTGTAGAATTGCTAAGAATAGACCGACCAGTGCACCCAATGCACTGGTTGAAAGTGCCTCCTCTTTAAGATGACATTATAAAAATTTTATTACCATGCTACGACTATAGGGATTAAAAAGCTTAGTTGTAAAAACAATGCATGTGGATGTCTTTGATACAACTCTCACTTCACCAAGACATTGTTGAAATTTAACAACAATTTAAATCCGCTAACAAATACACACAATCGAAGAACAAATTAAGAATATAAAGTAATAAGAAACAACAAAGAACAAGACACAGATTTTACATGGTTCGGCAATTTGCCTACGTCCACGAAGCTGCAGAGATTTCATTATTGAAAGAGTTGAATACAGAGAGCGGCTGTACAATCCACTATATTTAACCCTAATCACCAAAACAACGATTTTATATGTCCTACGCACTGGGCTATATAACGGGTCCCAGTCTTTGCTCCATGGACTAAACCTCAAAAAAATTTCCATTAAAAAATCACGCAACATTACTTCGGGTCGAGTAATCATCCGGATCGCATATACAAACTAGACTCCACAAAAAAACCAACAGACATCCAATGTACTTCATGGCAACCCACCTTCTACAAGTACCTGTGATCCAACTTTCATCCAAAAATGCCAAGTTGCTGCAAATTTATACATAAAGATTGTTCCTAGTGTGTAAGTCTTTCGTTTATGAAGTTTCAGATAAAGTATTTTTTTTTATTTAGTATTGTACAAATGATTGTAGAATTAAATAATTTTTTGCCAACACCAATAAGTGATAGTTGGTCTTGCCCCATTTTGGGTTGTCTAATTTCTTGACTCAAATTTGACTGCGTTATAATTTGACAAAAATACTTTCGCAAACTTGTAAATCTTCATCCTTCTCCAAACACGAAATGTGTGCAACCAAGTGGGATATGACACTTTTAACTAGGATGGTCAAGAGACAGTATTGTGTTTTTAAACATCATGTCATGTAAAAATTTGTTTAGTCAATATCCGACCCATTTACGGTCATGTTTATTTGAGTTCATTTCAATTTATTTACTCAACGGGTTTGGCGACTTTACATTAACCACCCAATCCAACCAAAACAAGTACAAATTCGCTAGGCAAATACCAGGCTTTTCAAGTTGTTTTCCTCTACATTGAAATGCTATGTAATATTTGGGTCACTCTGAAAAACTTCAGTATCCAAATTTGTCAGGTGGAATGATAAACTGAGGACATGCTTGCCTTCGTTATAACTAAGATTTCTAAGTAAAGTTTCAGAATACATATACAGGCTACAGCTCTCATTATTGCATTACACCACTTCTACAATAGAGGTAAACAGCTGGATTCTTATTTTGAATGAACTTTGTGTAAAATTTGCATAACTTCTTGTTCAAAGCATAGGTATGATTACAATAAGCAATTTAAAATTTGTGTACTCATTTCCATGTTGGTAAAGAGAGCGAAATACTCATTAATTTTGTTTTCTGCTTTTTGAGAGACACTCTTCTACTTTCTCATGCTTTTGCACGCTGTTAAGCCTAATGAGGAGATTAGATCTCGTTAGAGCGAGATTATAGTCACATCCCTCTCTTTATAAAACCTTTCACTCGAGCCCTAACCAGATTATCCAATTCAATTCCATATAGCTAGGAAAATCAATACCTAGGCTCATACATAATAACAGCCCCATGCTTCTGACTCTAACATAACTTGTGCAGCTAAGGTGTACCAGACACTATAAACCATACTAGATCACAACTTTATAAACAAAATTTCCACCCTACAACCCAATTTTCAACAAACACGAACAATTAATGGGCTATGTTACTCAAACTTTAGGCAAGAAAATTATACATTGAATACAATGATGTTGATAGTTTTATCTCTTCATTGGACCACATACCAAACACAACAGTTCTTGACTTAAAATGCTAATTTTTTCTTCCAAGATTCAAAAAAATAGGGAACAAAAATAAAAGTTGATTAATGTTATGTGGATTTAATTTACTAACCTAATTTATTGATTTAAAATCGTTTAATATCAATTGGATTGACTGTAGAGCCTCATTGTCAATTCAAGGGTATGTAGCAATGAATTAAGTGAGCTAATTGGCTAATAAATCAAATCCCATTAAATTTCTTTAATTCTTATGGCAAATACCTCTATAAATTGCAATTGTCTGGTTATTTAAAGGACCACATGCAAAGAGCTAGGGCGGCATATACATCAAACGTTGGCCTAGAATAAGGATATTGAAACTATGAATAATTCATTACTCTTTAGCAGTAATTACTAACTTCTTCCACTTCACTTTGTGCTTGTAAATTGAAGCACTGGTATAATTAAATGCAAGTGGAGCTCAAGAGGAAGCATAAATGTAACCTAACTACGCAACCCAAGAAGGCAAAAAACAATATAGTGTATGAGGTTGGAGAAAGATCAGAGTAATATATGTAGTCTTACATGATGTGAAGATAATATTTTGGTCATGGGAATTCAAACGATCAAATTACCATGGAACAAGTTTACCACGACCCAAAAGCCGACCCACATAAATACAATAATTTATGTAAAAAAAATGGCTACACTTTAATTAAATTTAAATATTAGTTAAGCTTTTTTTGACATGTAATAATATGTCAGCATAATGCTAAAGGAATGGGGATGAGAGCAGCTAAACAGTCTTTTGGGAATCAAATTTGGCTATCAATCTAATAAGAACTATGTCTGGTTTCACTACACAATTCATGCCTCTTGTAAAACTCAAACTTTTGATCTTTGTGTGTGTTGTTTGGGTGTTGGGGGGGAGGGGGGAGGGGGGGGGGGGGGGGGGAAGAGCATGCAAACTATATCAATCTAACAGACTTGCTCTCCTGCAAGCAAATCCTGTGGTGTTCAGACTTGAAAAGTGAACATTTTGCAAGGAGAAGGGAAGAGAGGGTGCAATTAGGTTCACGAAGCTAACATCATGAGAAGGGTACAGCCAAATCACAAAATATGACAATACTGAAACCCCAAGGCAATACATTGAATATAAATGATCCGGATCAGATTACGGTACTGAAAAGTCAATTTTTTATAATGTATTTGACTTTTTAACCCAATAAGATTCATACGCGAGTAAAATTTTTTTATTAATTTATTATTTTTTCAATCAATAATATTTACACACATGCAATAGACTTGACGCATTTATTTTTGGTATTCCCCATAGAGGGGTATCCCAACAACTGTGAAAGAGCCTTTTAACCCCCAAATCCTTCTACAAATGGGACCAATATTGATACCCTCGACCAACCAAAGGCTAGTGCTTTTGGCACTTTCTAAGGCAACGAATTAAGACACTTTCACACTGCATATATGTTTATATTATAGCTTTTTTTGCAATTTGTTGTGTGGGTTCGATTGAAAATTACTGGAAATTATAGAGTTAGGATTTTATATTGAAGAGAATCTAACAGTGATGTATTCTAGTAATCTAGAATGTTATTCATCCTCATAATGTAACAAGTTTTTAGTTCATTTTTGTGATATCGAAAATGATAGAAGGATACATGACTATGGTAGCTCTAATCCACAGAAACCAATGACAAGAGACGTCTAGATAATTGGAGATCGTCGCTCCCTCAATCTGATTGGGTCATAGCTTGACATCAGTCCCAATAACTCTATAGAAGGGGATGAAGGATCGATATACTACCTCCCCAAAGAGTTAAGCTATGACTACTTGGCCTCTTGGGAAGAGTTTTAGCCACTACACATTTGCAACTAAATCACAATCCTCCCTTTGTGTTTTTAAGGGACTGGTAACATTACCCATAATTGAGCCATTTCAAAAAATACCCTATGTATATGGAGTTTTTGAAAATTTGAGGGGAGTCATGACACTCTAGACTACAATGTGGCCTTCTTCCATGTGCGCGTGAATTTGCGTGTGGAGGTATATATGTAATACTACCATAATAACTAAAATTTTAATTGTAATCAATACATTGATAACATTCATTTCAAATAAGGATAAGTATCAAATCATTTTTGGACATTTACTCATTCCTTTTGGATTCAGAAGTTGCTCTCTAATGGTGAATTACTAATTTTTTTAAAAAAAATATTATATAATTCAAATGATCTTATTTCTCATAGAAAAACTAAATTAATTAGAGACTGCAGTAAAATCAATAGGTTGAAGTGGCAACTCTCAATTGATCTATATATTCATTTCCATCTAGCTTATAAGCGTGGCATTCTCATGAACATAAATCATCTATTTTTCTATTTTTTTTTGGAAAAGTAAAAGTGATTTTGTACTGATCGAAAATAAACAAGCAAGCAATGAAGAGGAGAACCCTTCCATTATGATTGCATTATTTTCTGTGAATATGCTAGAAGAACATTAGTGTGCATCAAGGAGTCTTAGGCACTGTATGCCCTTAGGAGCACTGCTAATTTAATTTTTCATGGAGGATTTTAATTTAAGAAATTTAAAAAAGATTATTCCTTGAATTAAAAACTTATGTGTGTACCAATTAACCAGCTCTAAATGATCTTGCTTTACCTTCTAAATGTTTCTTCAAACACATTATAATAACCTACTCCTCATTGTTTTCATAATAAGAGTAAATAAATTCAACAAACTAATAGCAAATCAATCTCACCCATCATAATCACATAAAACTCTTTTTCTTATGCATTTTTAACTTCTCTATGAGTTAATTTCATTTACATACTAGTGATCCATAGCAGATGCCATGCAATGAAAAAAAAAAACTCAAAGTAATTAATATTGTGGTATTACATACAACAAACAAGGACTGGTAATTAAATTTGACTCTGCAAAAAGACTTGAAATTTATTGTTACTGAGAATATTAAAAATTTATTTTGTAAACCATGAAATGATAATATTAGTATCTAAGATTAGGGTATTGTATGTATAATTTTCATACATGCACACATTCTAGCAAGAGAGGAAGATGATGAAGTTTCAAAAATTTGAAACCAGAGAAAGGTGGGTGCAGTAAAGAAGCCATAAGTCGTTTCACCAATACTCCTATGGAGGAAATTTGAACATCAGATACCAATTTTCTCTCTCCTTAGCAATAACACCCTCCAACCCTCCATAAATGCTATTGCACCCTCTCTATACTCTTTGCATTAACTCCTCGCTGCCACAACTTCTCCACCTGTTCCTTTCCCTTCTTCACCTTCTCACCCTCGTCAAAGCTCTCTCTCTCTCTCGATTTTATCTCCTCTTTTTTTGCTCATCCGTTTTCTCTCTCTCTCATCATCATCATCTCAGTATTCTTCTTAAATTCCATTCACAAGAAAGGTATGAATTAATCAGCGCCGACTGAAAAACCACTTCTTCAGCCTCCTAAAGAGTGGTTTCACGCTGGTTCTTTGGCCTGAATACCAGATCTGGCCCTTTCATGGGGCTTACCCTTGATCTCAAAAGGTGGGTTTTGCTTTTTCCTCTCAAAAGCTCAAATAACAGTAAGTTACTATATCATGTAAATCCCCCATTTTTCTTCTAGGGTTAAGTTTGAGCTATCTTCCACAACCACCACTTTTTTCCTTACTACGTAACTCATAGATGTTGCATAACTTATAATTTTAAGTTCTTTTCCGTTATATTCAGGAGAGAGAGAGAGAGAGAGAGAGAGAGGGAGAAGGGTTGGACTCCACCGAGATCTCCGTGCGTTCAATATAATAGAAGTTGAAATTGGGGATAATGTCAAAGGCCATTTCACTCTATGTCAACCCTTTGTTGCTAATTTAACTCATTTTAGCGAATTTTAGTCTTTTTGCACGTAAGGACAGATAGTATAGATGTCTTGTTTGAAAGCCCAAAACTGTAGTCATCTCTGGTCTGATTTTTGCATGTAACCATCTCATTAGTTTGCTCAGACACTGCCAGAGAATCTATTAAACTCAACGCACTAGCTTCTAAGAGGCCAACACCACAAAAGCTAGACACCAACCCACACCCACCCACTCATCCACACACACAGACACACACACACACACATAGAGAGAGAGAGAGAGAGAGAGAGAGAGAGTACCTTCTAGGGTTTGTGGGTTACAGATGTGCTCTTCTTCTAGGGTTGGTGGGAGATGGATTTATGGCTGCTGATATGAAGCTTCCGTGTACTCGAAAGCATCTGACCTAAGTGAATTTGGGTTGTCTTGATCGGAGCTAAGAATCAGGTCAGGGCCGAAAAACAGATCCAGAAATGAACAGTTTCTCTCGTCTTTAACCCCATCTATTTGTTCTTCTTTCTTTCATCCATTTTCTTTGAATCAACTGTTTGATGTTTTTGAGATCTATTTGCACCATAAGCTAGACTATAATACTAGTTCATTCTTGTGACAAAAAAAATTTATCCAACCACAATCCATCTCGATTAAAACGCTAAAGAATAAACGTTCTTTTAGGGAAGAGAGAGAGAGAGAGAGAGAGAGCTCCTCCTAATTTATGTGCCTCTATGCATGTATCTCAAAATCATTATCAACTAGGGGTTTCTTCTTCCATTTCTTGAGCTTTCCTTCTCCTTTGCAACTGTAGAATTTGTATCAGCAATTTTATACTAATTTTTCTAAGTTTAAAAGGTGTTCTTACTTGTGTTGTTTTTTTATCCTTCCTGTGTAGACTGCAAAATTGTAGATTTTGATCCCTCTCAATATGTTTCAACCAAGCATGTTTGATAGTCACCATTTACTCGATATGGCCAACAAAACCCCTGAACATGAGCTGGATATGATCAGAGATGAAGAATTTGAGAGTAAATCGGGCACTGATATCATGGAAGCTCCCTCGGGTGATGATCAAGACCCCAACCAACGCCCCAAAAAGAAGCGGTATCATCGCCATACCCAGCATCAAATCCAGGAAATGGAATCGTAAGCATTTGCTATACATTATCCTTATTTTGTAGCAGCTATCGGAACGGTACCCAAAAATTACTGTTCGATATCGTGAGAATTCATGCTATTTTTAAATTTATTTTGTAATAGCTCGCAATACAATATTGAAAAGTAACTTTTCAAGATCCACCCATGATTTTTTTTATGTGTTCGTTTATGAATGTTTTAAAATGCGATGGAGAGAGGGCTATTCTTAGTGGATGATTTTTAATTTTCTCTAGTTGGTTTCTGCATTTGGTTGCAGTTTCTTCAAAGAGTGCCCTCATCCAGATGATAAGCAAAGGAAGGAGCTGGGTCGGCGATTAGGGTTAGTGCCATTGCAAGTAAAATTTTGGTTCCAAAACAAGCGCACACAAATGAAGGTAACTCTTCAGAATTTGTTGAGTTGATTTGAGTTACATTTTCTCAAAGTAATTCATTGTTGAAATTTCTTACTCTTTCTGCGAATTTAAACATTCTACTTTGGTGTAGTTAAAGCTTATTTTGGGTACATCACATACATAAGACTAATTAGCTTCTGACTAATTTTGCCTTAACTGAAGGCTCAACATGAACGCCATGAGAACACACAGCTGAGGAATGAGAATGAGAAGCTTCGTGCCGAGAACATACGGTACAAAGAAGCCCTTAGCAATGCTACTTGCCCCAACTGTGGAGGCCCAGCCGCCATTGGTGAGATGTCATTTGACGAACAGCACTTGAGGATTGAGAATGCTCGTTTAAGAGACGAGGTAATTGGAGTATAACAATTTGTCGGTAGGGTCTAATCAAGTCGAGCTTTTCAAGCTTAAGTATGTTCAAGTTTGGCTCACATTCAGTTGGTTCATAAAATGAACTTAGAAATTTGAACAAATTCAATTCATTTTGTAATTTGAACCAACCAGAATCAAATTAAACCCGAGAATTGTATGTGTTCATTGCAGCTCAAATGAGCATTGCTTTGGTGATACCTTGTGTTGAACTGATATGAGTATGCTTTGTTTCCAGATTGACAGAATATCTGGAATTGCTGCGAAATATGTTGGAAAACCTATGCTGTCATATCCTAATCTTCCTTCTCATGGACCACCACGTGCACTTGATCTTGGGGTAGGCAATTTCGGGCCACAGACAGGGATCGTAGGGGAGATATATGGAGCCGGTGACCTTCTTAGGGCAGTGTCTGGACCTACTGAAGCAGACAAGCCAATAATCATTGAGCTTGCCGTTGCAGCAATGGAGGAATTGATCAGAATTGCCCAATCTGGAGAGCCCCTATGGATGCCAAGTGCTGATAACTCAACTGAAATTCTAAGTGAGGAGGAGTATTTGAGGACTTTTCCTCGAGGAATTGGACCAAAACCCTTGGGATTAAAATCTGAAGCTTCGCGAGAATATGCCGTTATTATTATGAATCATACCAATCTTGTGGAAATTTTAATGGATGTGGTAGGATTTTCTTATCTTCTTACATAATATCTTACTACTATAATCATCTGAAATTTTATGTGCTACAGAATAATCTTTTCTATGTAATGATGACTATCAGAATCAATGGTCAAGTGTGTTCTCCGGTATCGTTTCAAGAGCGATGACCCTGGAGGTCTTATCAACTGGAGTTGCAGGGAACTACAATGGAGCTCTGCAAGTGGTATGCAAGAAGTGTTTAATCATTCTCTGAGTAATTAGACCATATTGAGCACAAACCTCTTCTAGGGCAAAACAATCATCAATTGTAACAAGTTTACAAGTATCCTAATTCCTAACACTAGATAAAAAGGAAAACAAATGTATTGTGTTCAATTGATTTCGAGGAGGGATGTTCCTAACTTTGTGAGAACACTTCAGATGACAGCTGAGTTCCAAGTCCCTTCACCGATTGTTCCGACTCGAGAAAACTATTTTGTAAGGTACTGTAAACAGCATGCTGACGGAACCTGGGCTGTGGTTGATGTTTCCCTGGACAATCTCCAGCCTACTTCAGTATCAAGATGTAGAAGAAGGCCGTCTGGTTGTTTGATTCAAGAATTGCCTAATGGTTACTCAAAGGTACAACTCATCCCGCAATTTAGCCAAGCATTATATGCATGATCTGTCACAAAATACTCTAAGGGTTTTCTAATTTCCTAGGTTACATGGGTTGAACATGTTGAAGTGGATGATAGAGCTGTTCACAATATCTACAAACCTGTAGTTAATTCAGGTCTTGCTTTCGGTGCAAAACGCTGGGTGGCAACTTTAGATCGACAATGTGAACGACTTGCAAGCGCAATGGCTAATAACATTCCAGCTGGAGAAGTTGGTGGTATTATATAAATACCTTTTCCTCTTCTAACAACACTGTATTGCAGATATTGAACAAAATTCTACTGACATTGGCCATCCTTCCTTATGCTGATGTTGCAATCCTGACAATGCAGTTATAACAACTCCCGAAGGAAGGAAAAGTATGTTGAAGCTGGCTGAGAGAATGGCGATGAGCTTTTGCTCCGGTGTTGGAGCTTCAACTGCACATACATGGACAACTTTATCAGGAAGTGGCGATGATGATGTGAGAGTCATGACCAGAAAGAGTATGGATGATCCAGGCAGGCCTCCCGGTATTGTTCTAAGTGCTGCTACTTCATTCTGGCTTCCAGTTCCACCAAAGAGGGTTTTTGATTTTCTTCGTGATGAGAACTCGCGAAGTGAGGTATGAAGATCATAAGTAGTTGCCTGCAAATTCACTCTCATCATATAACAGCGGAAACCAATAGATACGCTTGGCACTTTTAGTCCTTAAAAAAATTCCGTTTTTTGTGCACAACAAGAAGATGATTTATTTTGACTTGAAAATGTAGCCTAACTCGCTATTTGTAGTATCATGTGTTGAGTTATAGGTACATCATGAGAAATATGTAGACATCTTGCTAGCTTAACACATATTACACAGTAGACATTTCTATATTCGGGTTATTAGGGATGACTATGCTTCACAAAATATTTGCAGTGCATACAACATCACTAACTGCAACTAATTCAAGCCCACAACTAAGCACAAACACGTAAAGACATTCAACTAGTGTAAAATGATGGGCATAAATGTTAGAATACAGGAATTATGTCTTAACATCTCTTGTGCAATTTTACCGGTTAGCTTGAAGCAAGATGCTTTCACAATTCTATGCATTTTTACTGTCATCACCTATATCTGGATTTCTACCCATATCAAAGAATGCATCTTATGAAGATCAAGCATTATAAGCTAACCTGGTAGCTTAAAAGTTCCACATTGTGTTTTTCCTGGACAGTGGGATATTCTTTCTAATGGGGGCCTAGTTCAAGAAATGGCGCATATTGCTAATGGTCGTGATCCGGGCAACTGTGTCTCTCTACTGCGTGTTAATGTAAGCTGAGAATGCATTCCATATATCTGGTTCACTTGTCTTACATCAGTGCCTCTCATCTGTTGCACTAACACATTATCATTTGCCAAATATACTGTAGAGTGCCAACTCCAACCAGAGCAATATGCTGATACTACAAGAGAGTTGTGCCGATTCTACAGGCTCTTATGTTATATATGCTCCAGTCGATATTGTGGCCATGAATGTGGTCTTAAGTGGTGGTGACCCAGATTATGTGGCCCTCCTGCCATCTGGTTTTGCTATACTCCCTGATGGACCTGGACATCAGGCAGGAGTTCCTGACGCTGGGTCTGGTGGATCGCTACTCACAGTTGCATTTCAGATATTAGTTGATTCAGTTCCAACAGCAAAACTTTCTCTTGGAGCTGTGGCAACGGTTAACAGTCTCATCAAGTGCACAGTTGAAAGGATCAAAGGTGCAGTGATATGCGACAATGCATAAGCAAAAAGTAGTGAGTTATTCAAACTTCATCTTTTCACATTTTCAAGCATCATCTCCTCTTGGCTAAGTTTTAATTGGCTCATGTTAGAAGGAAGTAAATGTAGAGAAATTATGATAGTCAGGCATGCACACACACACATATAAAGAGGCAAATAAAGGTTGTAGAAGCAAGGTTTACATAGGAATTTTTGCCTCATTTATTAGCCATTTTACCCTTTTTTTTTGGTAGTACTTTTTTTAGCTTTCATTACCCAAATTGGAAGACATAATTTCAGGGCTTTCTAATGAACAACAGATTGCTCACCATTCATAAACCAGGATTGTAAAGAATTCCAAGAAAACAGGCACTTTACAGCCACAATATAAACAATCACTCAAAAATAGTCTGAGTGACTCCACAAAGCTGAAGGTGTCCATGTAACTCTTTGGAGCTTTACAAGTGTAAGGACAATTACCTTGGGATTTTTCTTAATTCTTTACATTAGAAAGGCTGCATCACTTAAAAAAACTAAAGATGAAGATAAACTGAGTTTAATAAAAAAATTCTTAATGGGATATCACTTTACTATTCCATGCTTTCATTCCAGGATTGGCACAGTTTCAGAAATATTTATTTTTGTTCCCCTTTCTCTTTGAATCTTTATTGCAGTGAAATCTAAGGGAAGTGACTAAGAAAGCAAACAAGGCAGTGTTTACTCTAAAATGTGAAACTAATGGAAGAAGTCAAGAACGCACCTTAAATAATCCTTGCCGTGTGGTATTGGCAAAGAAGTAGCCAGAAGCTTTTCACCACCCTGAAAAGGTAATAGGTTCGGGTATTGACTTTGCCCCCTAAGACGAGTAAACCAAGACCTGAAATTACATGAAACTTCCCGTCCACCTTTATTTTCCTTTAGAGCTAAGGTTTTCCTATTTTATTTATGTCCTTTGAAAGCTGTTTTAGTTAGTTGGTAGACTGCGGAAGATGACTCTTGCAAACAATGTTTTTCTTTTGACATTGTGGTAAATTTCCAATTACTTAGCTTTTGTGCGTTGCTTTGATATCAGGAAGTTAACAAATCCTGCAGCTTAATTAGTCCAGATTTGTTTATTAGTCCATCATTACTCTTAGGTCTTGTTCATGAAAGATTAACCTACTGAAATCTTGGCTCAGTTATGCTATTGTCGTGATTAAGCTCATTCACTAGCATGAAAAATCCCAGCTCAATCCTAAGTTTCTACAATAAGGAGCCAAGCTTTGAACAAAAGGGAAAATGTGCTACTTGAGTAATTATAACAGAATAACAGGGAGAGATGCCTAATTCATGCTTTTATGATGATGTGCCACTTCCAACCGAGAGATGACAGGTTGAACCACCGGGTTGTTGAAGTGAATAAATGAGCAGTAAAAGTATTAAGGAAGGGTCCAGGGATTGGCTAGTAACGACCCAGAGTAATTTACAAAAACAAGCCTCTGAATTTCTTAATTAAGACCGGTTGGATTTAAGAGTAACAGTATGCAAAATTCTTAACCTTGGCTAGCATGCCTCTATGAGATTATATGCACACGCTGCTACTCCTAAGAAAATCATAATACTGAGTTAACACCAGGAAAAAAGCCACATCAAATGCTATAATGGTAAGCCAGGGAGCTTTTGATCTGTTAAGCATCGACAGAGATTGAGTTATGAATGTGACTTGACATGACTTATGAATATGACACCACTTCAAATTCTTAAAATGCTATCTAAGTTTGCATTGACACTGGCTAGAAGCACACACTGTGATGGGATCAGGTATTAAGCAGCAGCTAACAGATACAAAAATAAACAAGGAATAAAAACTTGGTACAAGTTCTAATATAGTTGTGAAGTGCTAAGTAATATGTGATAAAAAAATTGTTATCACATAGTCTTTGAGTTAGTTGCTCATCATTAACTAATTAGTGTATTTTATTTTCTTCACCCTTGAAAGTAAGTTTGTCTAATGCACACTCTCTTTGGATATACCGAGATATGTTACAAGTCAGCTTATTACGATCTTCAATCGAATTAATCATTTGCAATGATTCCATCCATCTTACTCAATACATGCAATAGTACCGAAACTAAAAGAAATAAGAACCGAGTACTTTCCAATAATCTAACAATGAAACAAATCCCTGCAATCCTTTCGTTTGCCAGAATTCAAAATTTGTGCTAATCGAGTGAATCCATTCATGTTTAGCAATAAACTTTCTCCATGAAAACCCTATTCATATTCAGCAAAATAAGAACTCCCATCTCCTCCATGAATGACACTACAAAATTAACATCCTAAAGGAAAAAAGGGGGAATATAAAAATTTATGACTACCTAAAAACAGACTACCATGAGTGTGGGCATGCTCATCCTCTGTTATTTTCAGAAAAAAAACAAAAAGAAAGCAACTTCTATCTGATTTTCTAGGTACCCTTCAAGACATATAGATTCTGTCAACAAATAGCCAAAGGGATGAGTCCTTGCCAAAGGTCCTCTTTCGGATTTCTCGTCACCCCAATGTGGTGCTTTGTCTCTACTATATATGCATTAGTCGAAAGTTGTAATAGTGATATACCGATTTATATATGAAAAAAAAGAGAGAAAATGCAGTCATGGTCTAAGAAATCTTAGAAATAACAGCTTTTTTGTCATCCCAAAAACAATAACGGAATTAGAAATCATAAATTCTGACTTCTATGACATATACAGAAGCTCAAAAGTTTGTGCTTGGATATTATCATTATTGGCCAATAGTTACATATCAGAAGATTATAATGATTCCGTAGCAGTGTCTCAGTACCACCCAGAAAATTAAATCTTCATAATAAGGATTGCCGGTGCTATAGTATGAATGTGTTGATCTGGCAAGAAACTAACCAAAATTTCACATGTTGTCGGTAGAAATTAAAGGAAAACAGTGTACCTCTTGGTGTAGGAGCACTAGGCCGGACAAGCAGACTAATTCAGAGAGCTACGAACCCATTAAAACTGTTGGCAGATTTTACCCAGAATCTTTGGCAGCGACTAAATGCCATTGCTGCTTCTGCCATTAGTTTTTCGTCTTCTCCACATACTAGTTACGGTTCTTCTCTCATCTTTCTGTTGGAGAGAGAGAGAGAGAGAGAGTTAAGTTGGGGAAGATGGTGGTTGCGGACCATTGAGCTTTTATTGAATTCATGAGAGAGAGAACACAAAGGTAGTTAGGTTTTGATTGAGCTTGGGGTGGTTGAATTTTTTAATTCTTATATGATATGTTTCTAGGTTTTGGTAAGAAGAGAAAATAAAACGAGGGAAAATAACTAATCCCTGTCTTTGTTTGGAAAAAATAAAATAAATAAAAAAGTGCATATTCACTCTAATTATTCGAATTTTGAAAAGGACAGGATAAATAATTGGAAATATTTACAACGAATTACAATTTAGAAACATTAGGTGCAAAAGCAATAATCAATAATCAACTTTTTTTAAAAAAAAAATACGTCTAAGTTTGAAAAAAGAAAAGAAAAATAGATGAAAAAAATCTTTGCTAGAGATCCAAATCCCCTACAATATATTTTTTTTTTAATTTTCTTCTAGACTGATCGATAACCATTAATGAGTAAAGAATCCACTTGTATACAATAAATCTTACTTGAATACATGATAAATAATCCGTTAGGGGCGAAATTGCAGAAAATCTCATTCCAATTGCTAGCCTTTTAATTCCGAGGCCTACATACAAGGGATGTGTCCATATCTCCATCCATCCAACAAGCATCGATTGGGAGTCTTTTTAGGGCCGGTTGGAATGTATCCAAGAATGGATACGGATATGGAAATGGAGTCTTCATGGTCCTGGACCATTTTGGAGCAATTATGTGAGATTTCAAGGTTTGAGCATTGGGAAAATATTAGTATAGAACTGAGAAAGAAAGAGATGACAGCATAGAAGAATGAAGAAAAGGATTACTAGTAATGCTGACAAGACATAGATATAAAAGAAAAAGGGTCCTCGGCGCCACATCAAACATTCGTCAAGGAGGCATTGCATTCTCAAATTCATTGGCATCAAGAGACGATATATTTATGTAGAAATTGAACGTAAATTTATAAAGCTAAACACTTCTCAACTCAACTCTACTCAACAAAGCGGCAGAAGAATGAATGATAAAATCTGAACTTCCCCAAATTACAAGAATGAGGTAGCCTTACAACCCAGTGACCAGTCCTTAACAAATGAACCCAAAAAAGAACCAAAAAAACTTATGCAGAGTTTATTGTTGCGGCAAAAGATACGGAAGCCACCATTGCTTTCAGTTGCAGAGAGAAACTCTTCTACAAAAACAACTACTTTACTCCAACAGCTTGATAAACACCAGTGTAAGTGTCTCACTTATGGGAGCTATTTGCCAAATGAATTTCCCTGCAAAAAGCTGGAAGGCAACGGCAGCAAATATTGGAGCATACCCCTTTAACAGACCATCTGATTATTAGGTCAAAAACTTCTGGCTAGTATATAATGATTCATGTGTCATTTAACTTGAAAGATCATTAGGATGCCTTAGAAACCCATTCGGATGCTGGACACAACGTAACTTTCAAGAGTGTATACACTGATAGTGGTCAGCTGATCTACAGTCCAAAAGGGGCTTATGTAGGGGTGGTAAACAATCCGAGCTACTCGAGCTTAGCAAATCTTGTTTTCAGCTCGACTCATTTATATATCAAATAATCGAACTACTCAAGTTCGGCTTGGCTTGGGTTCGGCCTTTTTTGCTCAGCTCGAGCTCGTTTTTTCCAAAAAAAAACCAAGCTTAAACCCTTTTTTCGGATCAGGCTCAAATTCATTCGTTTGGCTTGTTTACCAGCCCTAGGCTTATGCTTCACAAGTAGTAGTAAAGTCTTTACAACACTTCACAAAACTTAGGTCAACTTCCCTATTGTATTTCTGCTGGCACCTCAAAATTTTCCAACAAATTGAGATGTACAATACTGGCATACTAGACTTAGCAAAGGGTCACCTGGGACTACTAGACAATCTAGGTTTGAATCCCCCCTCCTCCATTGTTCATCGAAAGAAAAGATGAACTTGCATGTTTACTCCCTTATATAAACACACAGAAACGTTGCTTTCATCAAGGTTCGTCTAAAAGTGTTTTTCCCCTCTCCCTCCATCCTTTTTCCCCCCTATGAGGCTATGATCTCTTGAAAGGAACTAGAAAGGTCTATTAAGCTTAGGAACTACAATACACATGCTTTGGACAGTTGGACGCCCACCATTCTAAATGAAAAACCACAACCTGGAACTGAACAAACTCACTTCCATATAAAGACATTGCAGAACTTGGACATACAAACTACAAGATCCACAGACTAGAGGTAATACAAACAACTTCGATTACCTTTAAGGATGCATATATGTATCATAGAGCTACATATATCGTATTTTTTTGGGTAAATTATATATATCGAATATTAGTGGTCTCTAAAGAATGTTAAAGATGAGGGTGTCCCAAACTGTCAAATAAAACATCCATCCACAGACATCAGTTAAAGAAATCTATTCTACCAAACCACTAAACATTGTACAATGATGAGTTTTATTTTATATAGACACAAAAGAAAACAACAGAGAAAAAGCTCAAACTGAGATATTATTACTGCATTACAAGACTGTTCCACACTCTTTTAACAAAAAAGACGACCACAATGCTACGATAGAGTACAAATTCGATTTATATTATGTAGCATTAAAACAGTTTCTCTAGTGGTACGCACATACCTATACAATATCAACAATCCAGCCATTCTCAATGTGTATAACAACTTCACAACAATCAATGATCATTCCATCAAATCACTATATTCTGCTCAGTTAATTGAAATCACAATACACACTACATATCCAAACTCCCCAAAACAAAACAATATTATATCCACTCATAAACAAGCTCACCTGCAATTAGTTAAGTCCCTGCAGTTGGCAATGCCGCCATAAAAGAGTTGTAAGATGACTCAAGATCAAACTGGAGCTGCCGAGCCTGCTGCTCTGTCAACTCATCCGCTGCCCCCATCTTTGACAACCTCCCAATCCACTCTCTCATCTTTGTTTGCCCCTCAAAATCAGGCGGCAAAATCAAAAGCTTATTGAGCGAACCTGATAAATCAGAGAGCAACGGATAAACTTGATCCACAGCCACCATATTCAACTTTAATGAGTCCATTGCCGTAATGAAATTTTGCACACATTCAGCCACAATGGCGGCTGAGGTAGTCACCGACATTGCTGAAGCCACCCTGTGCTCCACTGTGGCAGGCACGCCTGAGATCACAAGGCGGTATAGGGCAGCCTGGCAGTCCATTTTATAGGTATCATGAAACCGCTCAATACTTGGAACAGTGTCTTTCAAAGTGGAAGATAGAGTTTTGAAATGAGCAATCAGCTTTTGGAATTCAGCCTCATACTCTGTTGGTGAAATTATGTCACGAACATAGGCCTTTTCAAGCTTCTCTGTTGCTTTGATAATTGCAAAGAGCTCAGCAAAGTTCTCATCCATCTCTATTTCGCGCTTATGGTTCCATAGTTTAACCTCCATGGAAGAGTTTACTTTGAGGTTGCGGACCAAATGAGGTTTTGTATTCAACTTGGAGAAGAGAACGGGACACGCGCAAAGAGGACCAAAACTTCTTCACTGAACATAAATAAATAAATATAGCAAACTCATCAATCTCAGAAAAATACAGTAAATCTTGATATGGGTATACAAATTCAGAACACAATGAGATAAAATTAATAACGGTTCGTCAAATTCAGAGCCACAAAATACCATATAAAATTGGATTCATTAAATTCAAAACCATGTAACAAAATGTTGATCAGGGGTCATCAAATTCAAAACAATACCAGAAAATCTTGTTCTGGATGTGTGCATATAGGGCTATATGTATAAATCTACATGTATGTTTATGCCTATAATCATGTATGTGTATAGTAAAAAGGAAATAGATTAAATCAAAAGGAAAACGCCCACAGAACTAACAATTAGTGTGCAACTTAGAGATAGTTACCAAATAAGAACGGACAACTAATAACAATATGGTTAAGAAATGATAAACCCTAAATCAAAATAGCTCAAATTTCAAAATTGAAATCCCAAGAACATAACCCTTATTTCAGAAACGAAAGTTCTCAATGAACATATCCAGAACGGTGACATGATCTGATTCAAGAACTCCTCAGATTTTATACTTGAAAATCTATACATACACACTGTAGAGAAAGAAAGAGAGACTTACGGAGAGTGCAAACGCTGCTTTGAATTATGGGAAGAGTGTTGCAGGTAGAGAGGAAGAGTTTGAAGAGAAAGTAAGGGCCGTTTGGTTTGTGTAAAACAGTTTTTTGTTCTAAAAAATAATAAAATGTTGTTTGGAGAATAATTTTTAAAACTAATTTTTCAAAAAAAAATGAGAATTAAGAACAAAAATTACAATGATGCTTTTTAAGTTTTTAATGCATAATATAAAATAAGAAAAATAGTCTCTCCTCTTTTAATGAGATCCACCCATCAAACTTCTTTAGCACTAAAACATTTTTTTTTTTTTGAAGTATAAAAGCCCTCTTCTTTATCACATGTCTCCTCACTTCTCTGTTTGTGCAACGATCGCCTACGTTGGAGAAGACCAGAGCTTTTTGTCTCCTGTCTTTCTGCAACAAAGACCGAAGTTCTTTCTCAACAATGAAGACTTGAAGCTCTCTCGTCTTTGTCACTCTCTCACTCTCTTTCCATTAGATTTTTTCTAAAAATCTCTGTGTGTGTGTGTGTCGATCTATGTGTGTGTGGGGGGGGGGGGTGAGTGTTTGCCAATCTCTATGTGTATGCGTCTGTGTGTATGTGTCTATGTTTGTGTGTGTGAGTGTGTGTGTGTGTGTGCATCTGTGTGTGTGTGTGTATGCATATGTGTGTGTATATGTATGTGTGTGTGCTTTGTGGAAACAAAGAGAGCGAAAAGAAATAGAGAGATGGGAATTGGTGGTTTGTGAATTATATTTATTGTCGAAATAGATTTTATAATTTTTTATTTTTTAAAACTATTTTTAAAAATATATAATCAAACAGGTTTTGCAATTTAAAATTTTCAAAAACACTTTTTTAAAATTTTTTTCAAAAAATATTTTCAGATATTATTTTTTGAGATACAAACCAAATAAGCCCATAGTTTCCTATAAAAAGTTGTGTTTGTTGGATTCCTCTAATAAGAAGGTAATTTACGTTAGGGAAATACTATATAACCCAAATTTGTATCTCAAATAAATGGGAACCATTGGATGAGTAGGTCCTATCAACTTTTTTAACTAGAGCCCACTGATCCAACAATTCTTATTGATTTGGAATGAATATTTAGGATACAAATTTGGGAGATATAGTATTACTCTTTACGCTATCTACCCTACAAGTATGCATAACCTTTATAATTAATCCACAACATTTCAATTACACTCTCCGAAATTTTGAGCGAGTTTTAATTCAGTTCTTACATTCAAATTGGTTAATTTATTCTAACATAATGGTTCCATGTGACCAATACATAGCTCAACTAATAAGATTTATATATACACACGTAGCAAAAAATCTTTTTAATAATGATGGAATTTTGGGTTTAGGCCATCATGGTCCAAGTGCCTAATAAGTTCAGAAAACTTTTGCTTACATAATGGCCCAAAGGAAGCGCCCACAACCTGCCCACATCAAGAGTAAGAGGGACGAGCCCAAAATGCAAAGCCCAACGGCGCCAGAAGACTTGCGGTCTAACCTAGCCCTAATCAAAGCCAGCCAAAGGACAACCTAGGATAAAAAAAAAAAAAAAGCCCAGCCCAGCGCAAAGTCTAGACCACTCCCCCGCGCCACTTGTCTTGAGGGCAAAGGGACCACCTCTGACACCCTAGACAATCACGCACTCTCTAATGCAGAGAGTGGTGGTGTGCATAATCATCCAAAGATCATGGGCACAGTGGCGCCAAATAAAAGAGGTTGCTGCAGGACAGCACCGGAAGGGTCCACAGAATCAACAAAAAGGAAGAAGAAGCCTCTAAAAACTCTAAAGGAAATCACTAGTATAAATAGAACACTATTACCCTACCACAAGGAACAGAGTCTTCTTCCCCGCTGCACCCTCGAGTGCTAAAGACAATGGGACTTACCTGAGCATTCGTCCTTGTAAAGGCCTTGAGCCAGCAATATTATTGTATTCACTAAAAATTGAATAATATATGACCTCAAGGAGTAAGAGACTCCCTTATAATGGATGTAGTCTTAGTCTTTCAGCTAAGGTGAACCACTTACACATTGCCCTTTTTCTCTCTTCCATGAGTTGATCTTCCAACCAATTTATCCATCATAGACCCCAAATATCCCTCTAGACTTGAGCCATTATTTCCTAGCATCATCAGTTGGTGCCGTCTGTGGGAACGGTTTTCATCGTTTTCCTTTGAGTTTTTAGTTTAATGGTTTCAACTCGGAACATGAGTAAATCTCACGTTAATCCCCAAGTTCACCAAAACTTACAGGAGAACTTTTCAGCCCCCAAAGTGGACGTCGAGAATCACCCCCTAGCAGTGGACCACGATGAATTGGAAGTCTATCATCGAACCACGATGCAACTAATAAAGCAAAATCAAGAACTAATGACATAGATACATACACACCAGCTTTTCCAGTTCTCGCCAGCACGTTAGGAGCCTTCTCCACCCCCGGCACATCACGACTCCCCTCCTCAAAAATGCCAAGCTCTGCCTAATGGAGTCACAAAGCTCTATGAGCACAACCATTTTGGAGAGAATCATTGGAGAAGACACCTAGAGGAGCACGACGAAGACGAGGCCCATAGTCGGGCCAGAGTCGTCTATCGAGAAGACAGACCTCTTCCCCTGTCGGAAGCCATGGATCGCTTATTGGAGCAAAGACTAACATGAAAGAAGTGATTAAGGGGAAGATCCTCGACACCATGGATGCACTAGTCTAGCAAATCGAGCCACCATTCACTCCCGAGATCCTTCACTTCCCTCTCCCCTAGAAATTTTGGATACCATCAATAGATGCGTTCGATGGGACCAAAGATTCAGTTGATCACTTGAACTCTTACAAAAACTAGATGAAACTCTAGGGATACCCAAACCTAATCCGTTGCCAAGCATTTTCTATCCCTCAAAGGGTCAACAATCGCTTGGTTTAACAAGTTACAACCAGCGTCGATCTCCTCCTTTAGGGAACTATACAATTTGTATCACACTTCATCGGAGCAAGGACATACAAGAAGTCGTCCTACCACCTCTTGAGCATCAAACAAGGGCCCAGCGAGTCCTTTCGGAACTATGTATAATGCTATAACCAAGAGTCCTTGAAGGTAGAAAGCGTGGACGACAAGTTTGCACTTACCACCTTCATGTCTAAACTCGGAGTCTAGTCCAAGGACCTCCTGTTTTCAATTGCCAAAAATCCACAGGCCACCATGGCTAAGGTACTCTCAAAAGTTGAGAAATACATCAATGACAAGGAGGCTTTTCGACTAAAAAGAGGGATAACCTCTACAGAAAGAGAAAAGAAGAAGAGAGAAAGAAGTCCCAAGAAGGATAGGAGACGAGATCGGTACCCACAGCGAGATCGTTCCCCCAGAAAGGAGAAAGAGACCTCCCTAAAAAGGAGAGGCAACGTTAGAGATCGCCTTGGTCCCTCGCCTTAAGAGATAGCACCTAGACACACTCCCTTGAGACTTTCGCCTCTTATCATCTCTATCGCTCGGGTCCTTCATGAAGTTCAGAACGAGAGGTTCATCCGATGGCCACCTCAGATGAAGTCTGAACTCAGAAGGTGAGATGCCTCTAAGTACTATGAGTTCCACAAGGACACGGGCCATGAAACGAATGATTGCATCCAACTTAAGAAGGAGATTGAGTACCTAATTCAGAGAGGACGCCTACGCCACTACGTGACAGGAAAGGGAAGACCGCAAAATGATCAAGGTTAGGACGCCCGAGCAGTCGCTATGCCTCCCCAGCAACACCAATAGGCTCTTGGCAAAATTTGAGTTATCTCGAGAGGTTTCACAAGAGGGGTGATTCTGGCTCAGCACAGAAGGCGTATGCCAGAAGAGCCCCTTCAGAAGATTTCCTCGAAGTCTAGGCAATCTGGAAAGTACCCCGTCTAGATGTGGAGATTAATTTTTTTGATGCAGACCTCAAAGGATGTCAGCACCCACATGACAACCCTTTGGTCGTTAAGGCAATCATTGCAAACAAAACTGTGCATCGGGTGCTCATTGACTACGGTAGTTCAGCTGACATCATTTTTCTATCAGCCTTTAATCAGCTTGGCATAGACAAGTCGACACCTGAGCCCATGAAAACCCATCTCCTGGGTTTCTCGGGTGAGAAAGTCCTATCTGTTGGGTCTATCCCACTTGCGCTTACCATAACAGATCAACCTTGTCAGGTTACCACCACAGTCCGTTTCCTAGTAGCGGATGCACCCTCCGCCTATAACGTTCTACTCGAGAGGTCATCCCTCAACTTCATCTAAGTAATACCTTCAGCATACCACTTGGTAATGAAGTTCTCCACCGAAAAAGGGATCGGCATGGTTAGGGAAGACCAGCGCCTTGCAAGGGAATGCTACGTGGCTTCCATTAGGCAAAAGGAGGTAGAGTCAGTCTAGTAGAAGGATTTGGACATAAGAGATGAGTTGGAGACACGACCCACCCCCACAGAGCAACCGGAGCCCTATACAGGTGGACGAAGACCCAGGGCATGTGGTCTTCATCTGCTCTATGCTGCTCTAGGACATCAAGGAAAAACTTATCTCGTTCTTAAAGGAAAACACTGATATTTTCACCTGAAAACAGAAGGATATTGAAGGAATAGATCCTGTAGTGATCGTACACCGGCTTAGTGTCGATCCGAACTATAAACTAGTGAGATAGAAAATGAGAAGCTTCACACTAAATAGACAAAGAGCTATTAATGAGGAGGTGGCCAAGCTGTTACAGGCCAAAGCCATCAGGGAGGTAGATTATCTAACTTGGTTAGCTAATGTCGTACTCGTGAAGAAAGTGAACGGCAAGTGGCGACTATGCATCGACTTCACTGATTTGAACCAAGCATGCCCCAAGGAAAGTTTTTTTCTGCCTCAAATTGACCTAATAGTCGATACCATGGCTGGCCATGAGCTCCTTAGCTTCATGGATGCCTTTTCTGGATATAACTAGATCAAAATGAATCCAAATGACCAAGAGAAAACTTCATTCATCATAGACCAAGGGATCTTCTGCTACCAGGTTATGCCTTTTGGATTGAAAAATGTCAGGGCCACCTATTAAAGGTTGGTC